TTAATTTGGACCATTTCTCGATTTATGCGTGTCATCCTTGCGCAGGGGCCATGCTAATCTTCTCTGTATCGTTCCAATTTTAACGGATGTCCCGAAGGACCTCGTAAGCAATTTCGATGTGACCCTAAGGCAAAAGTTGTTCAGTTTATTTTTCTGCACAAAATAATTTTTTTACGGATTTTTTGGATTTATTTTTTTTGCTGGGACCTTCCCCTCGTCCTTGCACGGCCGGGCCGCCCGGGAAAACAGGGTGACCCGGGCGGCCCGGCTGGTAGCCTAGAATGTTAGTCATTTCTCCCAAAAAAAAAAAAATAAATTCTTAGTCATTTCGATTAATGGATCAATCAGTCAGTTGGTCCACCTCGTTCCGCCAAAACAGAGCACACACGCAATTTTTTATTTTTTATTTTAATTAAGGCTAATTCTTTCAAGCCCAACCAATTCAATTACGCATTACTATGCATTGCTGTTACACAGATATATATATTCACAAACGAGGGGCTGTGACGATATACGGCAACTGGACAGCAATGAGGGGAGCGGAAAGAGAGAAGCAGAGGGAGACAGAGGAGACGGAGAGAGAAAGGGAGAGATGATAAACCAGGAAAAAACACGTGGCGAGAGCGAGAGAGAGAGAGGAGGCATAAGAAAAGTTAACAATTTAAAAAAAGGCGCACATCTGATTGTTCTTTTTTTTAATAATTATTTTATATCGTGGCAGATTGAAAATTTTTAAAAAAGGGAAAAACAAAAAAATGTTACGGAATGCCGATGAGCAAGAGAGCCGACCTTACCCGGTGGCTGTTCCGATCCCGATCGCCACGTCCTCACCGACAACTGTACCGGACCTTATCCTGCAGTCAGCCGCGATGCGCGCGCGTGCGCGAACCACGGCCCCGACCTCGACGATTGCGCTCGGATGAACTACAGCAAGCCGATGGACTTTCCCGCCACCCCTCTGCCACGTCAGCTGATCTTCCCTTCCGTCGATGGCTTCGTCTGCATTTCCCCCCACAGCCCCGACCTCTTCTTCCGCCTGCGGACTTCGCGCTCCCTCCATACTCATCCGTCCCCGCGCGTCACTCTCCTCCTCCTCAGCATCATCATCATCGAGAGCATCAACGAAGGCAGGAGATCCACGTGCCGCAGCGCCGGAGGGTCCAACTCCTGTCCGACTCGAAGCCGTGCGATCGGTATCCGGGCCGCCGCTGCTGCAGCTGTTATCGACAGCGCCACCTGGAGATTGATGCGGCAGCGGCGGCGCGGTTTTAGGGGCAGCAGAACTTACCTGAAGCTTCGGCGAGGCTTCAGCCCCCGCGCCGCCCCCGCCCCCTGCGCGACGGTGGTAATCCAACGGGGGGGCAGCATCTGGTGGTGCCACGTGTGGATGCGACAGCCTAACTTCTACCTGGCTGGATGACGACCTGTCGCCAACCTCCGCCACCAAGGAATCGGATCTCGCGGAGGCCGTGGCGGAGGCGGAGGCGGAGGCGGAGGCGGCAGGCGCAGCGTCGGAAACCACGACGGAGGCCGCGGAAGCCCCGCCGATCCTTTCGAATTTGACAGTGTTCCCGCCAGCGTTCCCGCTCTGGCAACATCTTGCGATCCCTTCCTCAGATCGGGACACGCCGAGCTTCTCCCTACCCAGTGCTGGAGGGTTAGCTCCCGCAGCCCCCGCATCCCCCCTTCCTCCTCCTCCTCCTACCCCCTCTCTTCTCCACCCTCTCGGTCTCTCGCTTTTCACCACGATTCTCGGCCCATCACCCACGAACGACGATGACGATGACGATGCCACATCCCAGCCGTCGATCTGAGACGCGAACGACCGGTCTGCAGCGCGAGAATTGGATATCTTAGAGAACAGCGACCGAAGGGACCGCACCCCGGACAACGCTTCCGATGCCCGCCACGTGGCGCGCTGACAAACAGACTGCCACATGGCCTGCTGACTGCCAGATGAGCAGCCAGCCACTGTCATCTGCTGGTGGTGTAATGCCCCGCCGCCAAGCCTGCGAGCGCTCGTTCGCGCTCGCTGCAAAGCTGACGAGATAGCCAGACTATAGCTCATCGTCCCCACGGTCCGCTCGCCGATCAGAGCTCCCATAGTAGTAGGCAAGCTGTCAACGCCAATCAAACGGACCGCTTACTGGATCAAGCCAAGAGGCATAACATCCAGAAGCAATACCCCCCCTCTCCCTTCCTTCTTCCTCTCTCCTTCTTCCTTCATTCCTCATTGATCAGCAAATGCATACGACCGCCATGGCAAAGAAAGCCCAACCACCAGATCTCGTTTCTGCAGCCCACCCCAGCCCACACCCGCAGCGGCAGCAGCAACAGTAGCAACTGCCGCCAGATAACCCCCCATACACCTCGGCACTAAACCCGCGCCCGCCCACACAGCCGCCAATAGCTGCACCAGCTGCTGCCCCAGCTACTGCCCAGCTGCTACAGCGCCCTGCCTCCTGCTCCCTCGAAGGTCTTGCGGCTGGCCCTTGAAACTGCTACACACCCATCCGAAGGAATCTTTAGGGGGGTCAAAGAAGAAACAGGGGTCCCACTTTTTTTTTTTTTTTGGGGGGGGGGTGGAGAGGGCGGCGGGGGCCGGCAACCTCGCCAAGGGCACACTCAGATCTGAAGCTTTCCGAGTGAGGCCTTCCACTTCGTGCTCCGTCCACGCATCCGGCCGTTATCACAGCCAGGGTCACGCTCGCAAAGCACGAACATCGCAGCAGTGGCTCCCGCCCCTCACTGTATACCTAATAGTAGGTCCATCCATAAACCTTCACCGCGTAGACCGGGCTATGGTGGGACCACGCCCGGTCTGGGTGTAGGACTTTCATAGGATGTCAATAACTTCGGGCCTCGTTCCACCTCTCACCATGCACCAAGTCCTTCCTTTTTTTTGGTACATGCAGCAAGTCCGGTGAGCCGTGCATCTGTCCCCTTTTCCTTTCACGTTTTTCATCCCTCTGAACTGTGTACGCTACCCGGTAGCAGGGAACTCTCATCAACTCGAACCTCTCTCCAACCCATTGGTTAGGCCTGCAGCTCGTTTTTTCATCTCTCTGAAGTCTGTGTACGCTACCAGGGAACACTTACCAACTCATACATCTCTCTAACCCACTGGTTAGGTTTGCACAGTGTTGGTGCAAGAGCAAAGCTGCACCAGCCCTTGATCACTGTGATGTGGGACTGGGCAGGCGGTACCAGTGGGGGAACACTGGCTTTGCTACTGCCTACGTAGCACGGTGGTCAGTCGTTCCACCTCCCCTTTCCTCCCCAACAATATTGGGCTAAGGTCCTGCTACGTTTCAGAAAATTGGAAAAGTCCTCTTCTCGCAGTGGAGAGGTCCTCACCCTCCTCGTTTTTGCCAGGCGCATCCCCTACTACTTCCCCATCTCATGCACACAGAGGACCTCACACAAGGGTGCATCCCCTACTTCCCTTTCTCACGCACACACAGGACCTCACACACGGATCCATCGGACAGCAGTCGCAGGCACCAGCGTTAGGCAGACCCCACCCAGCCCTGGTTGAAGCCACGCCGGACGAGCCTTGTCGCCCGGGCACCTGGGACACCGGCTTGATCATTAGTGTACCTGGGCCATGAGCCAACCTGTAAGGCCCCCTCTGTACCCTGGCACCCAAGTATATGTAACTAAACGTTCCTACCCTATGTACCACAGGCAGTGTCTAATGGCTCCCCCCTCGCCAAGGTCTAACCTATGACAGCCCCTGAGCTACCCAGGTATGCGTACCTAGCACAGTACCAATGTTATTTTGGTTATTGTTGTACATGTATCTTATCACCTGGAGTTGCTCTAGTCTCTGTCATCTGTAGGCACACTGCCACCATCCGCCTCCATACCTTTCTAACTTTGAAGTTCTTACAAAAGAGGTCTGAAGTAGCTCCACAATTCTTAGTTGGCTTCTAGTCTCATTGTCATGGAATTYTCTGATGACTTTTCTGAACGTGCTCGTTATGGGACGCTGGGCCCGGTTCCCAGTTTGTGCCAATTTGGGAGGATATGGTTKTATCTATGGGACGCTGGACCCGGTTTCCAGCAGGTGTTGCTCCCCACCAATAGATGGAGCTTGTGTTKTCTCCAAAAAAAAAAAAAAAAAAAAAAAACCCTTTGTCATCAACTAGACACACTCCACCTCTATTGTTGTATATATGTGTACTGCCAAGGCAGAAGTCTCTATCCCTTTTTCTTTTTTTCTTTTTCAAAACAAGCTCCGATCTATTCATGGGGAGCATCACGTGCTGAGAACAGGGCTCGGCGTCCCTTATGAGGATATTTTGGAATACATGAGTCATGATGATTTGGAATACATGAAAAACAGCTGAGGTGGTAAGGCCACCAAGTGCTGGAAACCAGGTCCAGCGTCCCTTGCCCTTATCCAAGAGGGCCTACTCACATCCGGGAATCTGTCTCTTCATCCTTTAAACCGGATGCCAGATCCTACCTAATCCTGATCTATTCTACCAGTTGGAAACCTGCTCCAGCGTCCCTTTCATCCTAACTCCCCAGGCTGGCCCGAAGGTCAGCAGGGGCCACTGGGGGGCACCAGTGGAACCATCTGCCTCCAACCCTGCTCGTGCGCCCCTTGCAAACCTTGCCTTACCTGCCCTGAACAGCACCATGGTGCACATCTCTCTCTTCTTTTTTTGACAGGCTCCAATCAATTCTTGGGGAGCAGTATGTGACTACTAAGAGAAAATATGGCTTCAAACAAAGGCCAGGGGACTACTTCTCCATCCATCTTGTCGGATGCCAAATCCTACACAGAAAACTAGCATCCCTTGACCTCTTTTCCTTACCTGCGGCTCAGCCCGGGTTCTGCTGGGGTTCTGAGGGCATAATGGCAGCATGTACTGAAAATCGGGCTCAGCATTCCTTACGAAAGCTCAAACATATAGGGACAGGCCAAGACCACCCTATTAACGACTCTGACCTGCGCTTAGTGCATCCTCTCGTCTAGTGATAGCGGGTGTGGAGGGAAAGGGCCCGGGAACTCTTCTGTGTTCCGCAGGGGGATGCTGGGGTCCACCGCTGTCCAGACTTTAAAAGAAAGGCAGTGATCGCGATGGACTTCGACTTGTGTTAGTTTTTGGTGTTCCTTCTCATATCTATGAATTTTAGTTCTACTCCTCTCCCCTATCCCCTGACCATAGATGATTTAAGATCTGGGTAATCTCACAAAATAACACTCGTATATATTGAAGCTCGTAATGGTACTTCACAATTACAAAGTTTTTCTACAGCTAAAGAATAAGCATGTTCTTGTGCCATCATAGAAACATAATCTAATTGATCAAATAACCCCCTTACCCACCCCTCCCTCTGCCTCCCCAGCCAGTCTTTGGCAAATTGGGTGATTCTGTCCGATATATCCTTATGTCTATGAAGGGAGTCCAGAGTCTTTTTGGTCTCCAACCATCTCTTGCTGATCTCTAACCATAGTATCCACATGATCATCCTCCTCCCCAATGAAAACATGTTCTTCACAAAGGTCTCATGTTGTAGAGTTGGGTGGTGTCCCACTAGAATTGTTCTCCAGTCCCATGGCCATGGCTGACCTGGGACCATCTGCCTCCATATCCTATCCCACAATTTCCACGTCAGAACAGACATTGGACACAACAGGCACATATGTTCGATTGTCTCCATCCTTTTCCTAATCGAAAATCCCTACATGCAACGTGTGCATTATGGCAGGGCCCTTCCCTGCTGCTCCAACTGCGTGTGATCGATTAACTAGTCGTTTGTAGGAGGCAGCGGTGGGCGATTTGCCATTGGAGCGAGGTGATTTTTGTCGGTCTACCGTCCTTGAACCGCTGTATAGGTGCAAAAAGTTATCTATGTGTTTTTGCCATCTGTCAATTACCACATGACCCTTAACATCTTGTAGGTGCTCTTTACTGTGAGGGTGGAGAGGCGGGATCTCGAGGTGTTGGTTTTGGTCCTTGTTGGGGAGCCCTACTGCCACTCTAACTTGAATGGGTCCAATGGGATCTTGGCCAAAGGGGCCTCAAGTCTAAAAGCCCACCGTTTTTTCCCCTCCCCCAAGATTCGAATCCTATAAAGATGTTCCCTCCCCTTCAAATTTTCCTATGCTATATCATTCCAGCAGCACAACGCCCGCCCGTACCACGTGGATTTTTCCTGCCCCCTCTCGAGCCACCCAGTCTCCCTCTTGCCACTTGTGCCTTTTTCGTAGGATAGATTTTTATCCTAGGGGGAAGACATCCGTGATTTCCTCTATGTTCGACTCTACGTCATGGCAGTATCTCAGTTTCTCCCATCTGATCTGGTCCCTTCCATTCCTTGTTCCCCTCATCACTCCATGCCTCACCCAACTCCTCCATGGCGAGTCGGAGCTACAAAATATTTGGTCGTGAGAATTGGTAATTCTGCAGTTTCCGAAGAGGGGTTGTCTAGCCACCTCCTCCCAACGCTCCAGCGGAGGCCTTTGTGTGAGGGGCATTTTCCTCCATGTCGTCACTGGCCTGGGCCAGAAGTCGTCCCTCTGCAGATCATGTCAGAGGTCTGGTTTGGTCTTTGCAGGTTCTCAAGCCGCCCGCGGGATTTCCCTATTGTGATTGTCCAACCAACATAGGCGGTCCATGGAGGAGGGAGTTTCACGTGCCTGTCATGAAAGTTGTCCGCAGGCCAAGGGTCTCCATATGAGAGGAGTTTCGAAAATCAAACAGAATACCCATTGCAGAACCAATGATTGGACATGTATTACAGGGTCTAGGATACCCATACTTTCTCTAACCTTAGGTTGCACCACCTACTCCACCCGACTGCTCGTCCTTGTGTTCTCGTTGTCGCCCGACCATAGATATGCAGCCACCTTCCTCTTGAGAGCCCTTTGGGTCGTCTCATCGAGTGGCCACATAACGAATTTGTACCATAGTGTAGCCAACACTACATTATTTATTGCTAAGTATGTTTTATAATTCTATTGGGAGAGTTTGACCGCAGCCAGGGAGTGAGTCACTCATTGTTTTCGTCAAGGAGGCCCTGTGCTGTCATCTTGACTCCAAGAATTTGGATCGCTGCATCGGGGGCCATCCATGTGATACGAGGTTCTTCAGGTGGCCGATCACCTTGCTGGTGTAACCACC